GACTAAGGCATTCCCAGCAGCCTGAGAAATTATCTTGTCTGCGCTTTCTCTCCGCTGCTGGCGAGCCAGGTAATTTCAATGCGCGCAAGTGCCGGATCGCAACTTCTGGGCAGCCTGCCTGCCTCGCCCCCCGCGCCCCTGGTCCCCAGCCAGCCGGGTGTCCGGCAGAGTCCCAGAAACTTTCTTTTAAGGGGGGCCGAGAAAAAGCCGCGTCAATACCTGACTTGTCTTTCGCTTCGCAAACGCGATCGCGCTGGCGAAGTGAGCTGGAATTGCGTTTGTCTCGCGTCCGCCGCTCGCTCGCTGCTCAAATTGAAAATAGCCCCAAGTCTGCATCCAAAAGAAACGGGGGCGAAACAAAGTTTTCGCATTTAGCAGCTCGACTGTTAATGCCCGGTCGGCAGCCGCGTCCTAAATAGATCCACCACGTAGCCGCTATTAACTAGCAGCAGTTTGAATCAGAAACGGTTTTAACCCTAGCGAGAGCGAAGAATCCTCTCGGCTTGAAATAGAAACTTAAAATCCTCCGAGTAACGATTTAACTATTCAAGCAACGAAAGAAAAATGCGCGTTTAAACGGCATTAACCTGTCACAGGCACACAAACAAATTTCCGCGATGAAATATAAATTACAGACTAGCAGCGAGATAAACACATTAAAATGGACTCCCACAATTTTAATAATAGAAAGTCACGTTTCCAATTAGGCAACGGCTTTTATTTCTTTTTTGACAAAAAATTAAAAATAAGAAAATGCAGCAAAACGGTATAGAATGTTCACCCGGAGGTTTATGATTGTGGGGGGGCTTTTTCTTTTTTTATAATCAAAAATATGAATGATTTCTTTTACATGTCTTCACTGCTTTATTTGCTGCCCCCCCTTTTTTTAAAATTAAAAAACCCACAGAAATAAACAGGATAATTTCTAATTAAAGTCCCACCACAGTTTGGGATATACACAGGCTGTACTTTTATAATATTAAATTATGTGCATTTTGTTTGCAATGCTTCAGTATTTTTTCCCCTCTGGAAAATTAAAATGATACACATGCATCAGGAATAACATATGCCCATATACTTAATGACTGGAATAATCAAATACGCTATTTTTGTCGTGTTTGCTTCACATTTTTCATTTATATTAAACAGTCAGAGAGGGCTGCCTGTCACTTCTCTCCTCCCCGGACCGTTCATTTCCCCCTTCACTGGTCACTATCGGGAAGTGTATCTCCTTCTAAGGCACGCTGAACTTTGTTGCCCAGCCACCTCTGTGTGTAACCCTGCACGTGCAGCCTGGTTAACGTATTTATAATTTTTAATAAATGTTAGGTGCAGCACATGTCACTGTGCAGCTTGCTTTTCCCAACGTGATTTTTGTGCTGATACCTGCAGAGCTGCTCGTTCATTTCAGCAGCCTTATAATAATATTGGCATCTGTATTGTTATTAAAGGGACCCAGTTCTAAAACTGATGGGTTTTTTTTTTTTTTTGCTAAAGGTATTTACCTCAAATTTTCAGATGCTGCAACAACCTGTACATGAAAATTCTATCAGAATGATTTACTACCTGTTTTCCCTTTTAATTTATGATTTAGAAAAGCATGTAAAGATGTTTTTAAATGCTGAAAGAAGAAAATTCAAGTGTACCTGTCTTCTGTAATTGATAAATGTTATCATTTTGTCATATCTGTTTCAGATCTTTTCTAATTTGAGCTATTTGACATTTCTGATAAAATTAAAGTCCCTTTTGCATGCCTCCCTGTCAGTTTTCTGCACCTTTACCCCAAAGGCAGACACTATCATGAATTTGGTATGCAGCTTTGCAGTTTAGGCTGCACATTTGCAACTGCATAGGAATCTATATGGGATATTGCTTTTTAAAAATGCATACACATGGTTTTAGGATATATATATATATGTATATATATATACATATATATATATATATATATATATATATATATATATATTTCTCTCATATCACAAATAAATATAAATGCAGTTCATTCATTTTAATTTTCCCTTCGTAGATCCATGCATATGAATGTGTCCTGTTTTTCACGGTCCTATTGATGAATGCTGGAGTTGCAGCCAATATTTTGATATTACTGGTGCATGTTTCTCTTGCACATATGGAATGCTTTCTGCATGTGTATACCTAGTTGCAGCTTGCTAGACAGCACTCATGGAGGGAGTCACTAGGCACTGCCAAGTGACTCTCCAGTTTTCACACCCATCGGTAGTGGGTGAGAGGTTCCATCTCCCTCAAGTGATAGGAAACACTTCTAGATTCAGACTTATTTCTACCAATTTGATTTTTTTAAAAAATAGCCAGTATCTTGTTATTTTATTTGAATTTCCCTCACTGCTAGTGAGGCTGGGCATTTTTCCATGTATTTATTGGCTGTTGAAGTTTCTGAGTCTGTGATTTGTTTTTTCACAGCCTTTGTCATTTTTCCAATAGGCTATGCATGCTTTTTACCTTTCATCCCCTGGATTTATAGTGTTCCATGCGTGTACACATTAAACATATTGTCCCAATCTATAGCTTGTCTTTTAACTTTTGATGTCTTCTGTATTACAGAAAATGTAAAATGTAGTTGTGGGCACACTAATCCTTAGAAATAACAACAACAGTTTTTGTTGCCTCTGTATCATTAAAGAACACCTCCACACCTGATGCATGAAGACAGCAGCTTCTGTCTTTCTCTCTGATGTCTAGTGTGAAAAGCTTGGTGTAAAGCAGGAATTGATTTCAGTCCCCTCTCCCCCACCATGGAAAGCCTGCTGTGACCTGATTTACTAAGCAGTCATCATGTCCCTATTAATGTGCAATACCACCATGACTGTAAATTAAATTTCCATATATTCATGGAAGTGTTTCTACTTTGTCCTTTTCCATGGACCAAACCAATTCTGAACCAATAGCACACTCTGAATTACCATGGCTTGATAGTAAGTCTTAATCATGATGGCTTGATAATTACTCTTGAAATGCAGAAGGATGTGTTCTTTCCTTGTTCACTTTTTACAGCTGCCCTGACCATTTTTACACTTCCCTTCTATACTAACTTTAGCATCAGCCTGTCAAATTCTAAAGAAAAGCTTTTGTCTTTTGTTTTTGTATTTTGCTGGGTTAACTTTACAATTTGAGGAGCTATGACATTTTTATGAAGCCCAGCGACCCAGTTCATGAATATTATTCTGAGTTTTCAAGCATTTTATAATTTGTTTGCAAAATGCTTGTGGCTATTTGTTAGCCCCTCACTCCCCCAACCCCAGGCAGGGAACCTTACAGCTTTTGTTATCATGACAGTGGGGTAATTTCTTTATTAAAAATTAAATTTGTTGATTGCTGTTTTTGAAAGGGCTAATGATCTTGTTTAAAAGGCAAACATTCTCATTGGCTTATTTTTAGAGGACTTTTGTATTTTTCATGTAAATGATCATGTTATCTGTAAATAACACCCTTTCCCTGATTAATCTCACTTAATCTCACTGCATGTGCTGGGACCCCAGTACAGCCAGAGTGTTAATAAGCACCCCTTTCTGTCTCATTGAAAATATATCTATTGTCCATCTTTGCTGTGAATTTTTTATATAGTAGCCCTTTATCAGGTTAGGGTAGCTCTTTTTTTTTTTTCCTATAGTGCTTAAAGTAGGACTATTTTAAAAACTTGAGATGGATACTGACATTTTTATTATATATTTTTTTCTCAGACTGTTGAGGCAGTTATAGGTTTTGTTGTTGGTATGCTAAAGCAACAGGTCACATTGACAGATTTTTCTAATGTAAGCCTGTTGAATCTCTAAAACAACAGTGCTTTCTATAGTCTACTGTTGTATTTTTAATACACTGCCCCAAGCAGCCTGTAATATTTTATTTTAGCAATTTATTCATAAGTGAAGGCTTAGGATTTCCCTTTATTATACTGTGCTTGGCTGTTGTCTGGTGTCAGTGTTATAGTACCTCTGCAAAAATGCATTTGGAAATTTTTCTTTCTTTTCCCATTTTCTCTGACAGTCTCTGAGAGATATTATTTCCTTGAATGTCTAGTGAAGTTCATCTGTAAGGCTACCATGTTTTGAAATTTTAATGCAATTTCTTTAGTCCTCTAAACCATTTTGGTAATTCAGATTTCTCTTAAAAAGATATATTCAAATCTCCAAAATTTTGAAATTTGGCTCATATTCTCTCACGTTAACATGTACTACTACTATGTTTGTTGTCATACTCCATTTTTACTACACACACACACACACACACACACCCCACACACACC